TTTTTTTTTTTTTTTGCTGCTATAGATTTTGATAGATTACCAAGTAGAAAGGCAGTATAAACCCTAAAGTTTCTGACAACATTGAAATACAAATATGGATATGTCTTAGATTACAAAAGAAATGGTTAAACAGTGGCCTAAAGTTACATTTTTTATAATCGGCAACGAATTTTGCGAACGATTTTCCTTCTATGGAATGCGTGGTAATTTTTCGCTTTAAAATAAGAATATATGAATATTCAAAACTGTTCTGAATCAATTGCAAACCTTTTTTTTACAATTTTTTTTAAAAATTTATTATTTTTTGCTGCTTTTCTGTAATGGTAGTTTTTTACTTCTATCAAATTGTTTGATGGTCATTTAATGTTTTATTCCTTTATAGCTGTTTTAACGCTTTACGCCATAAATGTATTACGGTTTAGTTCTGCTAAGGTGATCTATATTTATCACGGTTTTATCGCTCTTTCTTATGGCACACCAATTCTGGGTTCTATTTTGGCCGACGGATATATTGGCAAATTTTGGTCAGTAAGCTTGCCTTAAAGATAAACAAGACAGATTAAGAAAAGGAAGTAAAAAATGATTATTAACAGCAAAGCAGTAATGCCTTACTTCCAAACCTTTCACCGGTGTTAAATTTCTGCACTGTGTAACGAAAAAACAATCTTGAAATGCTTAGACACAGATTCTTAGGTCAAAATATTGATAGCTAGCAAAACCTGTCTTTTATTTTTTTTTTCTTTATTGCATTAAGAAAGAACAGCTTTATAAACGTTCAGGTCAAAGTTTGTAGCATTTACTTTCTCTAATAAGTTACGAAATGAGAAAGTGATGGTCTGTAAAGCAATTACGGTTGTACATAATCTGAGAAGAGAAATTTTCAACACGCAAGTAAATTATTTTTAACTATGAAACGCATTTTTCTAATTTTATATGTAGCCCAGTATTTTTAGTATTTTTGTTTTTGGTAAAAAGTTTTTATCAACGTATGGTAAACATCTGTCCAAAATTTAGTGTAATTTGTATTTAGTTGTCTTTCTTTCTTTTTATCTGGCCAACTATTATGGCTAAAAAGTAATGAAACGGATTACTTTTAATAAATAACGTTTTAATTGCAAATAAATGATTAGGTTTTAGCATTTACTGTATTTACTCTGCAGGACTATTCTTCTGATATCAATGGTTTACATACTTGGTCAACTGATATTGACAATTTCTTCAGCATTTGATTTCTCAGTATCACTACATCCGTAAGTTAATAGCGTTGATAAAGTCGATAATTTTTTTCTGCTAAGAACTTATTTATACAGTTTTTGAATAATTGCTTTTCGGCTATTTTCGTTGACTAAATCTCCTTAAAATCCTGAAAAATTAAAGCTTTATAGCTACTTGGTAATTTTTTAAAACCTTTGAATACTCGCTCTGTCAAATTCTAAGATAATCTCGGCTTCTTCATAAATTTTACGCGCTTAAAAGAACACTGATTGATAATTTTATAACAGCAGTTGAGAGAAATTTTTTACATGACAATGACAAGCCCAATTTTCTGTCACTTATTCCCTAACAAAGATTCCTATTTAGAACGCTTGACATACTTGGTCTAGCTTTGATCGGGATAGGCACCGGAGGAATTAAACCATGTGTAGCCGCATTTGGCGCAGATCAGTTCAATCCGAATCACACTAAGATGGTTTCAGCTTTTTTTGCAGTTTTTTATTTTTCACTGAATGCTGGATCCGCGGCTTCTATGTTTATCACGCCTGAACTTAGAGGTATAAACAAACTTAAACCAATTAAACAACGCCACAAAAACAACATTAACGAAATCTGAAATCTGTTTCGCACTTCTCTATAAAATAACCATCAAAACAAAAAAATTGTCAGCAGTTACAGCGATTCGATGTGGTGGTCACGAAAGTTGCTTCCCGTTGGCATTTGGATTACCAGCTGCTCTGATGTTAACAGCAACCATTCTGTTCGTTTTGGGTTCACCAAAATACAAGAATTTACCGCTACAAGAAAATGCTATTTTCCGTGTTGCAGAGATGATTTATGTAAGTGCTTCAAAAGAAATCTTTGTTGTTGCCAGAAAAAAAGAAAATCTAAGGTGAAAATCTACCGTTTTGTGTAGGTTTCGCATCAGTTTCTCTAAACGTAAATAGAAACAATTTAATTCAGGTTGCTCTAAAAAATAAATCTTGTTCGAAAATAAAACGAGAACACTGGTTGGAACATTATCTAGATCAACATCGGTGTGAAACAGATCGAGCATGCAAAGCGTTGCTGCAGAGCGGGCAATCAAAACAATGTGCTCAGGTTTTTAAAATTCTCTTCAAGTGGTTGCCTTTGTGACTTTATTTAAAAATATGGCTAAATAACAGGGTTACTCAGGTAAAGCGTTTCTTAAATTCTATCTAAAAATATACATTTGGAAAACTGTCTAAAGCGTTTTCTCTTTTTGTAAACAATTAAGTAGATTTAATATTACAATGACTGAATAAAATTTGAAAATTTATTGGCGATCTATAATAAAAACCCTAATTCTTCAACATAAACGCGATTACTTAGTTTTAATGATGTAGAAGGAAATTGTCTGTTAGATTTGAAGAAGTAACTGACTGAGAAACTGACTGCTTACTAGATTCAAAGTTGGTAAGACCTAAAGAAAGCACTGCTGAGTTGCAACAAAAGTCAGGAAGCTAAGGAAAAATGAAAGTAAATATAAGGATAAAGCGATAAGAAGTTGATATCCTTTACAGAAGAGATAGAAGCAACTTGAACGACTTTTTTATAAAGTCGAGTAACATTGCACAATCTTATCTCGATATGTCTATAGATGTACTCTTATAAGGGTTAATTTTGATAAAACTAGATGCTTCTAAATTAGTTCTGAAAAGCGGTTTCAGAAAACCTTTAGAAGTCAGAAAGATGCTAGATGTCGAGTTGCAGCGAATGAAATAAACTGTTCAGAAAATTTATAGAAAAAATAATTAGGCAGTTCATAGATGCTGCAAAGATGCCCATAATAAGCTCTACTGTCCTTTATTGTATCGCCTAGCACAATCTAACTGGGTAATACTCTACCAAAATTTTTTTGCTGCAGAATATGAACTCGAAGTTTAGATTTACCGCTAATCTCTGAAACTAGAAATTTTAAGGATTAGTCCTGTTGAGTAAGTCCACTGATCAGACATATACTGCTACACACTTTTTTCTTAGGCATTATGACTACTTCTCTTATTTACTTGTGGAACATTCAAAACTGTTTATTTACTTTTTCCTACCTTCTTTAGAAACTAATGCTGTAATATCAGCTTAACTCTTTTGAGGTTTCATAAGGCACCTAATCAAACGCAAAGCAGTGTAATAGAAGATAGAAGATATCAACGATTCTGTAACTGTGGAACTGCAAATTCTTTTTTATGTGCAATTTAATTCTTGCATTTATACGAGTAATTCTATTACTGAAGCAGTGCTTAGTTCCTTTTTTTTTCAATCGACTTAATTCAGCAAAAAGTGAGAATGGAACATCTAAGCAAAAATAGTCTTGAAATCTTTATCTGAAGTGGTTTTATGCCTGACAAATAAATACAGAAATAAAGAATTTGAAAATTGTTTTTTAGAGAATGACTTATGTATCTACTAATAATTTTTCTCGATCTTCTTGTGCAGTTAAATCAATAACTGCTAAAATGTGAGTATTTTTAGGCTGGAAAAAGAATAGCCTAAAACTGTAAAGCCTACAGAGAGAAACTCTTTATGGTAATGAATCTTTCAGATTTCTGGAATTCTAAATTTTTGGTGGATTAAATGGGTTTTTTAAAAAGACTCTGCTGCTAAAAACTGCTTTCAACAAAGTGGCGGCTGACTGAGGACGACTGAAATTTTATAGTTACCTACCATGGTGCATTTATTGCACGTTGGCTATCATCAACAAGCAAGACTTTTCTTTGGTGATAATAAAGATTCCAAAGGTTTCAAAAAAGTGCTGAAAATACTTAAACAAGAATAATTTAAAGACTTTCCGTGTTATCTATATAAATTTTTGCGAATAAGTATTGTCTGTACAGAAGCCAACAAGAGCTACTGTAAAAAGTTTTTTGCGTCAACTGGTTTTAGATAAACTGAACTAAATTAGCAGAAATTTGAAGCAAGCTTATCGTAGCTTCGTAGAAAGTTTTTTACTCGTTTATCAAATTAAAAAATAATCCGAGTATTTGACTGCAAAATTATCATTAACCTCAAAAACTTTACTTGAGAAACCTTGTATATGCCGTATAACTGTTGATAAACTACTAAAACTTCCAAGTTCAACCACTTACAAATTCTGAAGATGCATAAAAAGTAATCTATTTTAGACGAAGTTTCTGGGGTATGTGACAAATTTGTGCAGAGTAATAAACATGCTTTTGCCGCTAGTGGTATTCTGGGCATTATACGATCAACAGGTTTCAATTTCAGACATTTTTCCATGCCAAGTTTGAGCTCTTGATTGTTGGTTTTTCAATCTTCTTTCTTTTCAGGGATCAAAATGGACAATGCAAGCGCTTGCAATGGACGGTAACATAACAGACTCGTTTATGATACTACCAGATCAAATGGGCCTCTTAAACAGTTTTATAGTGCTGCTCAGTATTCCTTTATTTCAAGTTGGTTATGCCAAACTTTATTTGCTGCAGATTTTTATTTTTTATGGTATTACAATTTGAGGAAGACCTTTATCTTTGTCTGGAAATACAAAAACTTTTTAGTTTGTGGTATATCCACTCATTGAGAAATTCGGGATCAAAACAACGTAAGTTATGCTTGCTATTGTTGTTTGAGCGAATTGGAGAACAGTTTTATAGTTGCATTCGCTTCATTAGTCGTAATTTTTACAGGCCTTTAAGGCGAATGGCTGCAGGAGGCTTTTTGACTTCAGCAGCCTTTGTAATCTGTGCCGTTCTACAGTTTCAAATTGAAGTTAGTTTTATTTTAAAAAGCTTAAGCACAACTTCAAGGAATTTCAAACCTTTTCTGGTATTTAGCAGGGAATTAACAGTCAATTTTTGTCATTATAATCGTTTATTCATTTACTTGATTCTTCATTCCTCTTGTTACAGGAGACGCTTCCAATAATACCAACGTCAGACACGGCATATGTCTCTTTCATAAATGTCTACAAAAACTGTTCTGTTACTGTCACAGATTTTGATGGTCTTGAAAAAAAAATCGGACCTGACAAGGTTTTACAAATGCCGTCAACGCTTTTTTTCTGTGTTTAATCAATGTTAACTTGTACTTAATTGCAGTCCTTGGTCGATGACGTTACAAACAGGAATTTAGAACTTTTTCGTGTAAAAGTTGGTCAAGCAGCAGATTCAGAATTTCTTATCAAGTTTGAGTAAGAGTTTTTGCTAAATAAGGATTTCAAAGGCTGTATTGAAAAATAACTGAGAGTGTCAAACAGATATAGCAATGCGAAAAGTACGAAATAATCTAATCGTTGGTAAATTAAATGTTTCCAAATGTATTTCTTATTTTAGGAAAAACTCTACTGTCAGAGATTTTACAGCAAAACTTCATCTTCAAGGTACAATGTTTAACTGTTAAAGTTGAACCAAGCTAAAAGTAAATATTAAACTAGATTTTTACCAAGTTAGAGGTTTGGATTTGTATTATTAAGAAGATTGTAGTTATTAAAAAACCCTAGAATTGAATTATGAATACTGTTTTTCGGTGGCAAAGTTTACTATGCTATTATTTCCCAATATGGACTTCTGTACGAGGAAGCATTAAACAAAAAGCCAGTGAGAGGTCAAGGAGAGTCAAATATCAAGTGAGTAACTGATTTTTATTGTGACGAAACAAAATCAAATTTAATGACTTTTCTTAATGGGCAATGGAAATTTACAGCATTAACTTGCTGATTCCTTGCTCTAATGTCTCACCAGTAGCTGTGCAATACGGGTGTCTTTCAGCAAGCTCTTCAGAAGCATATGCTGGAGGAATTGCGCTGTGTAGAGTTCAAAATGACAACAGTTCTGCCTGCAATTTTGACACAAACTGGTAAAGTTCATATGATTATGAAAAAATTTATTGATGTTTATAGCATTTGTACTTCTGTTTACTGTTTTTGGAATTAAACTTTGCCGTTGCTTGCGAGTTCCATAGATGACCTCCATCTTGAATGAAAAAATCAGCTAACTGTCATTTTTCTGGGATTTATCTGTCAAATAAAATAAAAACGATAGTTTACGTAGAGTAATGTTAAGGGAGTCGGTTTACTGGTCGTCGTCAACAGCGCAGAGGAAAGATGTGGTAACTGACAAAATGTCACCCAATTTTACGTCAACTGTTTACAGTTATAAAGATATCCGAGCGGGAAGGTTAGTCAAACTGCCGAACTCTTTTTTTCTTTTGCCTCTGTACAACCCATTCTTTTTGTTAAATTTCTTTTTTTGATTGTGATTATTAATGATATTTGAAAATCGCATCGATTTTAACAGCATTTTTTATTTTCATTTAGATATCACATTCACTACATTCCCAACAACGTAAGTAGCACTTTACCTGATCTGTTAAATGAGTCTGCTGTACATTTGAAAGGTGTGGTGGTTGAAATTCAGGGAATGGGTGGCGTTTATTCCTTGACAATTACCTCAGATGAAGAAAAAACCAGTGGCGATAATCTGGTGGAAGTTTTCTACTTTTTTTTAATTCCCGTTGTCATAAAATTCATATGGTATTTAACATTACCATGGCCTGTTGCGTCTCTTATCTTCTACCTTTCACTTCATTTTAGCTGAATAACGTTTAACAAAAGTAAATTTAATTCAAATAGTGTTATGAGTGGTTGTAGAAAGCTGAATATAATAGTGCCAAGCACATAAATTTAATAGTCTGCATGTTTAAATTTATTGAAATTAATAGAAAAACATTTCAATAAGTGAAAAAGTAGGTTACGTTTTGTATGACAGTGAGACTCTTATAATTAATTTTTGCTGTAAGCTAAGAATTCTCTAACAACGAGTTTTTTGATTTGACTTTACCAGCATGGTGCTTTCTAAATAACTGAAGAATGATTGTTGATTTCAGACTACCTCGGCTACTATGCATACAATTATTTTCAAAAATCATCTCAGCATACTGTGGCAGATTCCACAATACGCGGTCATAACTTTTGCTGAAGTGCTCATTATAATGACCGGTATTGAATTTGCTTACTCTCAGGTAAAATAGTTGGGCATAACCTTATTTCATTTGCCATTTAAAAACTAATGTGTTTTGTAGTCAGTTCAATGGTTCAAGAATTCTTTAGAACTTTTAAAAACATGGAACAGGCTTAATGGATTTTGTGGTTAAAATCGTTTCAGACGCTCTATAAACCTATCAAATATTACATTTGAAAAAAAATAGAACAATGTTTTTAGGCTGCTCCAGTGCTAAAGTCTGTGGTACAAGCAGTTTGGCTTTCTAACGTAGCCTGCGGAGATATGCTAATTATCATTATCGAGTCACTGCATTTGTTTGAAAATTTGGTCTGATCTTTTAAAATTTTTACTTTTGCTTACGTTAATGCTTTATTTTCTTCTACACTTATTGTTTTTAACTTTAATGTTTAACTAAGAAGTACTAAAATTCAGGTCACTGAGATGCTGGTCTATGCAGTGATAATGTTTTTGGTGGCTATCGCCTTTTCCTTGATGGCATTCTTTTATTACGAGTACGCTCATTACAACACCGAAGATGTTCAACATGTGGAACTGAAAAATTTGAGATCTGATTAGAAATAGTAAGTTTAAGCTCCTAAATTGATCACATAGCAGTTAGTAGAATCAGATGATAAGGAAGTTGTTTGTTAAAACTGTTTTTAGTCTTTCAGGCACACACCCTGCTTATGAGCAGATTTGTGAGTTATTTTGCTTTTATAAAGACTGTTATAACTTTCCTTACCTGACACTAAAAATTGTTACTTCTTCTTTTTTTTT